TGTTGCTGCTACTGGTGAGGAAGGTATTATCCATCACAAACAGAGCAGAAGAAGGGACAGATTTACCAAGACCCAGAACCAGCAGCAAACAGAACAAAACCAGAGTCAAAAAAAGAAAACAGAGACTGGAAGTAATGTTCTGTTGCCTCTTGATATTAAATCCAGGAGCGAGGAAAAGGCATCCTTGGGCTCAGAGCCTTCATGGGGCACCATGCTCAGAGGTCCAGCAGAAGTCCATCTGGGCATTTTGATGGGACCTCCAACACTCTCAAAGCATAATTCTCAAAATTAAAACGTAATTGTTAGAAAAACACATAGGAAATGTCAGAGTTTTAACTCATTAGTGAGAACACTGACAGGGTGACAAGCTGGTTCCTAAGATGATGTACATATAGACATACATATATAGTCATTGAAAAAAAAAAGGGAATGCTGAAACATTATTCAGTTCGATTCAAAACTGGATAATGTTCTCTAGATCAGTAAAACCCTAACCTTGAGGTTATCCTCACTACTAAGTAGTGGTTATTTGCTCCTTATCAGTTATCTTCAAGTTAACATCTAACATACAGAGTTATAAAATTTGGGGACCGTAATTATTATAAGAGTAAATAGTAAGTCAAAAAATGTTCTATTCCCCCAGAGAGTCAAATGCCCTTAGGCCCTTAGAGAGCTTATTAGTTAATCCTTAAACATGGCATTAACATGTAAGGCCATTTTTTTCTTAATCTCATTTCCAAGTTTAGATATTTTTTTCTTAACAGAAACGAGGCAGTTACTACTCTGAGCAACTGGGTGATTGGAGTGTCTTTAATGTGATATGGAAGTTTAGACAAGGAGCAGTTTTTTCCTTGGGTTGAGCACATTTTTGAGAACCTTAGCAGTTCACAAGTAGGTGCGTAAATCTAGAGTTGAGGGCTGAGACAAGGTGGAGAGAAGCCCTGGGAATCAGCATCACATAGAAGGATGTAAAGCTTGGGACCAGATGACACATCAAGGGAGCAGGTCTCATGTGGGGAATAGAGGTCAGGGTTGGGAGGGTTGAAGAGCTCCAGTGTTTAGTGGTGAAAAAGAATAACTGTCCAGGGCTTCCCTGGTGGCGCAGTGGTTGGGAGTCCGCCTGCCGATGCAGGGGACGTGGGTTCGTGCCCCGGTCCGGGAAGATCCCACATGCTGCGGAGCGGCTGGGCCCGTGAGCCATGGCCGCTGAGCCTGCGCGTCCGGAGCCTGTGCTCCGCGACGGGAGAGGCTGCAACAGTGAGAGGCCCGCGTACCGCAAAAAAAAAAAAAAAGAATAAATGCCCAGCCAGGAGGCACTAGGTGGGAAAATCTATGAGAATAAAGCATCTCAAGATCAAAAGAATCAAACGCTTTGTCACATGCGTGGTGTATTGAGAGGTCGAGAGGGTAAAGACTGAGAAACGAGAGGATTTTGCTACATGGAATAATTGGTGACTCTGATGAAAGGAAAAGGCTATTGGGTGAGGCGGCAGGGACAAAGCCCGCTTCCGTTTAGTCCAGAAGAGAATAGAGAGAGAGGACGTACAAACAACTCAGGTTCTTCAGCAAAAGGTCAGTAGCTAGGAGAGGGGGTGTCAAAGAAGGAAGGTGGGTTTTTCATTTGTTTGGTCTTTAAAGGTGGGTTATATCACAGTCTATTTGTATAGTGAGAATTCACTTTTTTTAACTTCATCAGTTCACAGCAATGGGAGGGATGCTACAAACATTAGTGATGCATAAGGTGTGTGCTGATATAAACTATCCAAATCTTAACGTAACCGATACAAAATATATCAGAGGGCCGGGAGACAGCAGTCATGACTCTCCAGAGACCCTGAATAGCTTTATAAGGCAGAAAGCCTTACAGTGCATCTTGAAGGATTCAGGCACATCTAAATGACAGGAATAGTCTTCCAGGCGATTGAAGCAGAACAAATAGAAGGCTAAGAAATAGGAGAGTAGAAGTAGATTTGTGCTAAGACTATGACCTTCACATTGATTTAATTAATCTGGGTGGTTAGACCCCCCCGCAAACCTCTCCCCTCAGTTAGGTAACAGAAGAATGGAAAATGCCCTAACACGTTCCACTTAAAATACGGTGTTCTAGATTCTTCAGAAAGCTATGCACTGTCCCAGATTACATAAGAATACTTCTGAGCTTCTAAACAAAATATTTTATTTTTTGAGGAAAAATTGTGTCTTACTTATTCACAAAACTTTTTTTAACATAACTTCTTAATTCACCCCCCACAAATGGTAATCATTTGCTGTATAGATTTCTCTAATTATTTTTCAGAATTTTTATTTGTTGACATTGTAGAACATTTCATGGCTGTAATTAAGTATCCATGAAAAAACTTGTGAATCTTCCTAGCTCATCTTGGATACATTTTCATAGTAGAACTATTATAGAAAACATTTCCCTGTTCTTTCAAACTTCTCTATAACCTAAACAACACTGTCTAAAATTTCACAATAGTTTTTTGTGTGTGCAGTGATTTTTAAAATACAGATTGAGAGTTGTGATGTAATTCTGTTTTCACGGGAATATTGTGGAGAAAACAGTACATGTTAGTTTATCCATACTTTACTGTAAAGGTAAAAACAAGATCACCGAAGAGAGGTTTTCAATAACCACTGTGGTGAGTGTGCTAAGGAGATGAAAAACTCGCTGGTGTTTGATTGAAGATGGATATTATGATGGTGAAATTGACCAAATCCTGTCATTTCTGTATATCTTTCAGCAGAATTGTGCTAGTAAAATAGTAGAAAAAGCAGGTACTAAGAGTAGACTTAAGGAGGGTGGCAGAGTTAGGAAACACATTCAAATGAATAGGTGAGAACACGAAAGAAATTGACCGTAATATTTATCCGGAAAGGAAGTCCACTAAAGTTGCGAATATAAACCCCACAGGAATCAGTGTTGAATTGGTCGTCTGTAAAGCTGTCATCATTACCGTTTGGAGGAGGAGACTGCATAAAACGCATAGCAAGATTACTAGGCTTGCAAATGGCTTTAAAAACTTTTGAGTTAATGAAAAGATGATTAGAATAAATTGAAAGAATATGAATACCTTATTATTGTCAGGTGAATGTTGACGTGGACCAATTCAAGAAACGCAGCTAGGGATTAAGCATTCCAAATTATTCCTGTCAAATCAGGTCCCAGTTTCCATTCACTGTCGCTGAAGGGATCCTAAGGTCCAAAAAGTCCTGTCTTTTCCATGGATTCTGAGCCCCTGCACCAATTTTCCTTTCTGCTGAAGCACTCACTGTGTATATGGCCACAAACATGTTACGTGATCTTAAGACTTTCTGTTTTACTGTTTCTAATCATATTAGGGTTTATTCTGATTTGCATATGAAATGTCATCACTTAAAGAAGCTATATTCAGTAATATATTTCATTTTTCCAAAGAAGAAATATAGAAAATCAAGGTGGTGGTAAAGGGCATGTGAGCCAGTTTTTGCAAATATTTTGAGGGCACATAAAATTAAGAGGGTCATTTCAGAGATATCAAACAGGTCTTTATTGGACCAAAAAAGGGATAGTCTAAATGGATACTATAACTGCATATGCAGAGCAATTAAAAAGACTGGAAGAATCCTACCATCCCTGACCACCTCCCCAGTTGCCTGCCCTACCTGTAACTCTGACTCACAGACACTCATGTACTTTGGCAAATAGAAAGGATATTTTCCCTCAACCTTCTACGGTACCTGAAACTCTCAACAGTAGTTTATTCATTTGGGAGAGAAGTACCGTGATCTATTCAGATAACCTGATGCAATCTCAGAATATAGACAAGTAAGTTTTGCAGAAGAGGACAACAAAACAAGGAACATCTGGACCCAGAGCCTGCGAGTTCGGAGAGTTGAAAGTTGAAAATGAGAGGAAACGTACGTGGAGGCGATGGGGCAGAAGTGGGTGAGGAAGGAGGAAGGAGAAGCAGGGCTTGTCTCCTGAACAGCATTTCCGAGACTCACTCAGCCTCGGATAGCAAAAGAGATGCCTCTTAGCTGGAATCCCAAAGAGAAACCAGAACAAACACTGGTTTCATTTTTTAAACCTTGTCGTGTGGCAAATTAAGAGTATCCGTTTTGAACAATATTTTTTCCTCAGGAATGTATATGGACTTTTCTCACTGATTGAACTATTTTAGCTTTTCTCTGAAAGTAACAGAGGAATTATTTATAACATTGGTCAGTAACACCTCCCCATTTGTAGCCTCGGTTGCCTTTCTTTTTACTATCTTCAAAGAGTTTATAGATGATGCCTTGAAATGCTCTTGTTTCAAGGCACATCTGGTAAATAAATACTGGGGGGGCTTCCCTGGTGGCTCAGTGGTTGAGAGTCCGCCTGCCGATGCAGGGGACACGGGTTCGCACCCCGGTCCGGGAAGATCCCACATGCCGCGGAGCGGCTGGGCTCGTGAGCCATGGCCGCTGAGCCTGCGCGTCCGGAGCCTGTGCTCCGCAACGGGAGAGGCCACTGCTGTGGCCTCTCC